AAGGAGAAAGCCACAAAATGAAGAAATCCAACAGGAATGTCTACAATATCTCTTCAGTGACAAACCAGTCAGGGCCTTTGACAATAATCACATTCATATGCCACCCATATATTGAGAGAATTGGAACACTCATCAACACCTTGCATCACCACATGTGATAGAAGCTTCAGAGCTGAAGAAGCTTCTTGGATGAGAAGCTAAATGTCTTCAAAGAAAAAACAGAAAGTCCAGTTGCCTCTTGAAAAAGTATCTTTGGGACAGTCATGACTGGGAGGACTGAGAATCTCCATAGACGTGATAGAAAGCTAATGGCACCAGATCTTGTAGCCACTCTTTTGTTCTGACAGGTAGAAAAGCCCACTCCAATATATGCTAAGGCAGGGTTGTCAAACTCGTGTGGTCATGTGGTCACATGACGTATCGCAACTTTATTCCCTTCATTAAAATGGGGGTGAGCGTGGTCAGCGTATGATGCATCCGGCCAATGGGCCACAAGTTTGACATCCCTGTGCTAAGGCAAATATTGTGAAATAAATCTAAAACAGGAGTCCAGTTCTGTTTATTAAAGTAGATTTGGAGGAAGCAAAAATCAGGCAATGTAAAAACACACTGAAATTATATGGCTATTGTTTTTTCTCCCAGATTGCTATTCTGGTATTCGAAATATATAATTATATTACTATTACAATTGCAGTTTCAATTTTTAAAACTTCCTTCAATACACTGCATGTGACTTACGGACAAATTGTGTGCTATATTTATGCTATTAAAAATAACAATAAGACCCACAAAATGGGGCAGGTTTGGAATCTTCACCTATATGTGGGGTAATAGTGAAACCTGACCCCACCTCATTACTATGAAGAAAGAGTAACTCACAGAGAGTGAAAAGAGTAATTTGCTTTTCCATGTGTTCCAATCTTAAATAGAGCTGCTGTATCTTTCAATTTAAAAAAACAAAAACAAAATCAGTATGTCTGTGGATTTTGGATACCTCCTAGGTTTCCTCTAATTTTCCTTCTATACAGTTGAACCGTGGGTCGTGACTGTAATCTGTTCCAGGACTATGGTTGCAACCTGATTTGGTCGTGACCAGAAGCATGACTGTCTGCACATGCGCAGACAAAAAAAATAGCACTTAAGGGGAAATTGCTGCAGCAGGGAAAATTGCTGCGGCTGTGTCTGGTCGCCACCCAAAAATGTGTTGGTGACCAGAAACAAAACTTCGCCGAAAATTCTGGTTGTCAGCCAATTTGGTCACGAACAGAAGTGTTCGCGACCCAAGGTTCCATTGTATATACTTGCTTGAATATTTAAGTCATCTATAGGAACTCACCGTATACCTTTTTAGTAGACCGGGGCTATAAAGAAGAGAATCTTCTCAGGAATACCATCCTTACAGCAGCTACTCCTAATTGCCACCTTTGAATCCTTTGTCATGAAGAAGGCTCTGTTAAAATCTTTGTTGAACAAAAATGGCCCCTTCCTACTTGATACTAACTAGTTTTTCCTTTGCCATTGATTTTGCTGCCTGCCTCACTGTCTCACGCAGGAATCCAAATTAAAGTACCCATGACAAATGGGTGTCTAGCCTCTCCTTGTACTCATCTAGTAGAGAGCCTACCACCTCACTGATAATTGGATCTAATGTCAATTGCTGTTAAGAAATGGTTTCCTAACATTCATTTGGAATCTTCTGGTTGGGTTGGAATGAGCCATAATGTGATTTGCTTGTTATTGGCTTAGTGTGGTATGTGAACTCAGTTATTATGGCGCAGTCAACAAAGTCTTGTTAAAACTATGGCTTATTATGGTATATAAACCCAGTCAGTGATTATGTTACTCTTGAGCTTTTATTGTGGCTTTTAATAAAATGTTGTGGTATATAAAGGACAGGTAGTCCTTTACTTACAATCATTTGTTTAGTGACTGTTTAAAGTTACAATGACACTGAAAAAAGTGACTTAGGACTATTTTTCACACTTAACACCTGTTGCAGCATCCCCATGGTAACATGATCAGATGCTTGGCAACTGGTGTGTATTTATGACTGTTTCAGCGTTTTGGGGTCATGTGATCCTATTTTGCAACTTTCTGACGAGCAAAGACAACTGCAATTATTCTCTTAACAATTGTGGCAAAAAAAGGTTGTAAAAAGGGCAAAACTCACTTAACAATTGTCTTGCTTACCAACAGAAATTTTGGGTTCAGTCATAAGACGAGAACTACTGTGGTCTTGTTGAGATTACTCTATAGGAAATTTCATTCCCCTTTTCAAAACATCTGTGTGTCTCTGCAGTTTTCAACTCAGTAGCGTTTCCTAGTCTGTGGTTCATGTGCTGTTGAGATATTTACTCTTTCCTTCAGTTATTATTCCTTAAAAATGTGAAATTGTGTTTCTTTAAAGATTTTTCCCCTTTCCCTTCTTAATTTCCCCCCTCTAAACAAATGTTTAAATACTTCCTTCTGGACTGTGGGTGACAAGAGTTTTGGCTACCACACTGAGAAAATTATTCAGTGATTCATTTATCTATTGTTTTCAACTGATACCACCTCCATCTATTCAACCAGATTGTTTTTGTTACTGCCTTTGCATTTTTCCCCATCTCAGCATTTCTCCCATACATTGGTTATCATGATAAGCCCTTGCTACACATCTTCTTTTAGCCAAGAGGAAAAAGGTCAAGATTTAAATGGCTGAATCTAAGGTTAATGATTGAAATGCCAGGTTTTTGATTCACCTTTTGAAAGTGTCATGTAAAGCTTGCTAGAGACTCACATTTGTATGTAAAGTAAGAAATGCAATGTTGTTCCTGGGTTTTTTGAACCTCCCCTGTCCATTATCAAATTTTATATACTGAGAATGATGGGCTAGAAATTCATTCAGGAAACTCCCTGCATTTATACAATATGGCAAAGTACATTCTTTTAACACGGCACTCTTTTGATCATACTGGAGAAGAAAACAACATTTCTATGTTCTTCATTAAACAATGCCAAATGCTCATACTAATTAATAATAATTATGCTGATTGAATGGATTTCAAAATCAGATGTGATAGTGTGCTGAAAACATTTTCTTTGTTTCCAGGAGGCAAATAAATAACCAGAAAAGATGCAACTGCCCAAAGTCAAATAAGGACTGTGCATTTTTTTAAAAAACAAAAACAAAACCTGTTCTTTGACCATGAGGAAGAATGGTTGCTTTCTGATTCTGAATAAAGAATGTTATTAGGAGGCTGGCAACGCAATCTTGTCTACCATAACAAAGGACTGTGACCCAGAAACTGTCTGAGCTCCAGTATCTTGCTGGTTGTATCAGGAGGACAGAAATGCAGACAAGGAGACATTTCTCTCTCTCTCTCTCTCTCTCTCTCTCTCTCTCTCTCTCTCTCTCTCTCTCCCTCCCTCCTTCTCTTTCCAAATATTTCTCTTCCAAAGGATAGTGAGGAAAATTACATTGTAGATTTTGCTTTCCAGTGTTAGAAGCCCTTTCTGTCATTTTAGTGAGAATCTGAAGGAACCTGTATTTGCCTAGTGACAGTCTCTGGCTATAGAACTATAGAATTATAAGAACTATTTCTTATAATTACAACAGATGTGTGTACAAAACATTTCAAAGTGACAAGAGCAGTCTTGAGTTCAAAAAGTATGGCTCAACCTCAAATAAATTAGGAGGCTTTTCTAACTACTGTATTTTGGAAATGTTTTGAGCTTGAGCATCTTTGTAAATTTGGCTGTTTACATAATCTGTTTGTGTCATTTGAAAGCTTCATCAAAGCACGCTTATTTCTAAACCAGTCTTCCATAAATAAGCAGTTGATGCTTAGTAAACCCAGTTGCACTGTTCAGTTAAGAAGATATTTTAAGAAATGGTTAGGAAAAAGAAGCACAATCATAGAATAAGATCATTTGAATAATTCATGATTGACCCAAAGGTGCTTTTTTCTCAAGAGGCAACTGGATTTTCTTTTTGCCTCTTGAAAAAAGCACCTTTCGGACAACCATGACCTGGATGACTGAAAATCGCCATAGACAAATTCACGATTGATTTAAATGAGAAGATTCCTCTAGTACCACTTGAGGAGGACAAAGAATGAATCCAGCTGGGTACAGCCTTTATTAGGGCTTATCTTGTGATTAAAAGAGTAGAAAGAAGCTTCCTCCTTTGCTCTTATATCTTTGGAGGGTTAGCAGCCCTGTTTTGAGCAATCCAGTGTCTTGTTATAGGGAGATTCTTCAGGACAGCTGTGAGGACTATTCTAGGTATCAATCAGATAATGCTGCTCTGAGTTGGACTTTGGTTGGACAAGTACAATGGAAATGGCATAGACACAATGTTACTCAGTTATCTGGGAAGAGGTTAGACGTCAGGAATTTGACAGGGTCCTTGGTACTGGGAGTTTTGTCACCTGTGCTCAGGATCCATGCCTCCACTCCCTGGCTGGTACAGGCATCTTGGAAGGTGACATGGGATGGGTCTAAGTAGTGACTAAGGCCTCCCTATAGGAGTGGGTGGTTCTACATGCCTTGCAATTGTCCATCCTTGGTTCTAGCAGCATTTGAACAGTTTCAATCTTTTGTCCAGACTGCAATTTTCCTTTTTTTTAGTAAGGGGAGAAATAAGTGACTTTAATGTGGGATGTCTCAAGACATACTTCTACCATTCCCATTTAACATCTGCATAAAACTAGACTTGTTCTGCTAATGATAGATTGGAATTCTGGTCACATCAGAGAATAATGTTAAAATGGAATTGGGCAAATGTCTCCTCTTCTTCTACACTAAATACCTAGAGAATTCGTTACTTCATGCTTCAAAATATGAGGTTCAAAAGTGTCTGAAGGTTAAAGAAAGCAACATGAAATATTAAAAATATAAATAGTTAAAATCTCTAGAATCGTCCTTGCATTCATTCTAAAAGGGTTTGCTCTAAAGTTGAACAGATTTATGAGCAGTCCATTAATTTTTTTCTTGATTTATCCCCTCTTGTTCTATAGGCTGTTCAGTATTAAATCAGGACTAAGACAGAAGCATTTAAATCAGTATCCAGAACCATAGTATTCAGGTAAGACATTTACTATATACACTGTGCATGGGGTTGTGAATGGGTAGCAATAAAATCAGACTAAATGCCAACAAGATGGAGTAGCTGTTTGTCTGAAAACAATCATTATCGTGATCCTGTTGATAACTTTGGAAGGGGGTTCTGCAATTTGAAATGTTCTCCCTGGACTTATAGGTCTTCCTGGATCACCAGGGGGAGCCATGTCCAGAGGAATCACAGTATCCTAGCAACAGTGATTCATCATTTCATCACCACATGGTTCAACTATTATATTATGTTCTCAATGTGAGAGCCTCTGAAAATAGGGAATTATATTATAAAATATAAATATTATATTCTGCAAAGCTTTTAAAATGGTGCCGTTTTGAGATTGATTTTGAATGCTGTTATGAGTTTATATGATGACCACAGTCCTATCTAAGTTTGCTACGTATATCTTGATTACCTGAATTGAAAAGGAGAAGGAAGAAGGATCTTAAGCTATTTAATAGGCAATTTTGTATGGCCAAATTAAACCTAAGCTTCATATTATTGAGGGATGACAGGTGCAGGGATGGGTATTTGAATTCAACTGAGTTATACTCTGTAGCTTATCATTAAATTAATTTCCTGACCCTTGCTATAGTAAGTCATGTTATTACCAGAATGATTTTAATGGCCCCACCGAGGGATGGGATTCAAATTTTTTAACAACCGGTTCTGTGGGTGTGGCTTAGTTGGTGGGCATGGCTTGGTGGTCATGTGACTAGCTGGGCGTGGCCAACTCAATATCACTCTCATCGAGGCACGCATCTCCTCATCTGGCCTCTCATGACTGTGGGGATGCTGCAACAGTCATAAGTGTGAAAAATGGTCATAAGTCACTTTTTTCAGTGCCACTGTAACTTTGAGACAGGAAGTCTAGTCCTGCCAAGAATGTAATAAGGGTTAACAGAGAGGCAATTTCTGTAAGCAACACCAGAATGTTTCCTTCCTGCCTTCCTTACAGGATTAGGCCAGTAATTTCTTCTAACAACCGGTTCTCTGAACTGCTTAGAATGTTAACAACCGGTTCTAGCGAATAGGTGCGAACTGGTAGAATCCCACCCCTGGCCCCACCCCTCTAATAAGGTAGCTCTCTTGTTTACCTATGCTGGATCACGGAGCAGCAGTAGCAACTGTAGGAGGAAACATAGTTGAAATACTGCATTTTTCATCAACTTCACTGTTGCTCAGTTTGATTTCCTAAGCTGTTTCTTTGTGTATGTATCAAGGAAAAAAAGCATACATACATGCATGCATGCATGCATACATATATATTCATTCACCCAGGTATAATTGTCATGCTGTTCCCTTTTGATATAAGTTATGCAAAGTGAAAAAAAGAGTAAAAAGATAATAATCCAAAAGTTATCTCACAAGGATAGAAAAAAGGAAACAAATCTAATTCTACTGATACCATTTACTAACCCTTTCTATACTTTTGTGCACATGCAAGCCTTCCTTGCTTATCCATATACCGCTTCTTACATTTAGTTAGTAGGCAGAAAAAAGATTCTACCAAATTAAATATGAGAAATATTTTCATTATCTTGATTCAGAAAGTATTGGCCAAGTTCACTACATTTGTAATAAGAAATTTACTAGAGGTCCATTACAGTCTGATGTATTTGAAAGTAACTGGTGCAAATTATTTGAATAATTAATGTCCCAGTATCACATGCAAATTATTTGAATAATTAATATTATTCAATATTACAATTTTGATATGCATGTCAGTTAAGCAAAAATGTTTCCAAGTCCTTCTAGTCCTTGAAAAGTGTAAAATAAAAAAGTCTGTAAATGATATTTTCACACCAAAATGAACTGAAATCAGTGTGTCGCTATACTACAAGGGAAAAATAGGATTAGTGAAAGTTATCTAAAATTATAATAAACAGGTCCAAAGTTAAAGAGATAGCAAGTATGGTTTTTTTTACTATATAACAAAAACAGTATGCATTGACCATATTATCGTGATCAGGAAGGCTGGATGTCACAAGTATTTAATTCCAGCTACATATATGTAAACTTAGTAAAGGATTTTATTAGCAAAATTCCAGCAACCATATGTATAAATTTTCTTAAATATATATCAAGAAAAGAAATGGAGAGAATGAAAATGGCATCTTTAAGATAGACACACACACACTCACTCACACACACACACAACACTTACAGCAAGAAATCTTATGGTATAAGATAATTGAAGCTGATTTTTTTTCTCACTTTTATAACAAAAATGTTCAGTTTCCTAATAATTATATATAATTAATGCTATAGTAGGCTGAATTTGCCATTTTTGCTTTGCAAGCTAAGAGAAGGCAAAAGCATATATCTTGGAGGTGGGGTTGTTTCTGTTAGATGGTTTGCTTCCATGTTCATTGTCTCTTCCACATAAACTATAATTAATTGGCTCAATACATACAATTAAACTATAAACCAGGGTGGCCAGGGGAATAGACCAAATTAAGCCAAAACCTAATAAATTGCTTTTTAAGACTTAGTGTGTTGGACAAATGCAATCCTTAAAACTTATAGGATACCCATCCAATTCATTTTTCTTCTATATCAGTGTTTTGTGTTGATCTGGCTAGGACACAGAATTTGAATGCAGTTGAAAATGTTCATGAGGGTTTTTTTTATTTTAGCAGTACAGTTTGTGTATTTTCTAGCATTGTTGTTTTTCAACTTTTTATTAGTCTGTCTTCAGCCATCACTTGGTATCCTTGGCTGCAGGGTTTGTTGCAGACCAACAGCTACAGTGCTCTTGAGATGCTGAATTAGTTCACAGATTTTCAAGTCTGCTGACGTTTCTCCTCTTCCATTCTTCCCCCCACCCTGACAATTGAATGTGCGCCCTTTCATTGATGGTGTTTTGTCTGCATATGTTAGCAACAGATCCATATGTTCAGCACCCCCAATAGATGTTTGGGTGGATGGCTATGATGAAAGTATGAAAACTACCGAAGCTTCAGATTTGAGAGGAAGGGCCATTATATCAATTCTGAAATCCTTATTAAAATGCAGCTGGTAGTGAGTCAGAATTTAAATCAGAAAAAGATATTATCAAAAGATCGATATGGATTTGTTTTGTTTTCAACTAACTTCAAGCATGTACATTATCATCCCTCTCTAATATCCTGCTGAATCTTTCCTTCTACAAAACTCTTCAGTCATAAAGATTCTGTTCAGTAGGCAATCTGACAAATGTAAATTGCAGACTCTTGGATATCAGCAATTTTGCTTGGAGAAAGTTGGATTTTTTAGAAATACCCTGCTATTGGAGGGTGGACAAATTGGGCTGTCTTATGGGACCATTTCACCCTCATCAAAGGACTTCTGCATAAATTAAACATTTCCAATCAACTTTTAATAACCTCTCCACCATACCAGACTGATTAAGTGCAAGCAGCTGAAAAATTCAAAAAGTATTTCACTTCATTCGTATTCTAAATTCTGTTTTTAGTTTCTCCTTAGAAATTATAAGCATAGTTCTTTTTCATCCCTTGCTTAGTCCTAGATTAAAAAGTAGTCCTGTTTTTCAAACATGCCTATTTATATTTTAAATGCCTCAAATGAGTAGGTTGTCTTGAAAGCTCTCAAATATGTCTAATGGAAGAAAAATATTTGTTTTTTCTAGTTTATTTATCTAATTTAATGATAATATTGTTCTTAGTGGCATGGACCTATTAAATGTAAATGTAAGGAATTGTGATGACCCGTAGTCTCTCAAAATAACCCAACACTCAAAACATACATTAAAGTCTGGTAAGGGCTTCAACTTAAAACTTCACTGTTTTATTAGGCACAGTTTAAAGTCACAAAAGTAAATAATGAGGCAAACAGAAAACCAAAACAAACCTCATTGATGAGAGTTCCGAAGCAAGCCAAGATAACTAATCATAAACTCCAGGTAAATAACCAAGAAAAGTCCATGGGAAGAACACCAGCAAAGATAAACCTATTCCAAGGTGAACACTAAATTGACTCCTGCAAATTCGAACTGCGCAGTTGCAAACTTATATATCTCCTCTTGAGTAGACCTTGCTTTTCCCTGATCCTCTCCCTCCCTGCGTGACCTAGGATGGATAGGGGATGGGCCTGGATCCTCCTCTGATTGCTCAGCCGGCCTCTGCCCTTCCCTAGCCTTCTCCACCACCTCTGGAGCCACACTCCCACTCCCTGTTGGTTGTTCCTCCTCTTCCTCAGAGTTAGTCTCCACCAGGGGCATGACAGGAATAATGTTATTTATGTATCATATTTATATGGCCACCCATCTCACAAAAACATGAGTTTGGTGAAGTGGTTAAAGTGCTGGCCTAGAAATAGGAGACTGAATTCTAGTCTGACCTTAGAGATGAAATCTGGCACTCCCAAATCAGCTCACAGGGTTGTTGTGGGAAAAACATGAAGAGTAAAGAATATTATATATTGGTTGCCTTGAGTTATTTAAAAATAATAATAAAAGTGGAATAATTTAAAAAAAACTATTGTATCCCGGAAACTGGAGGAAAAGAAATGAGCCTGCAAGGATTGAAGACATTACAATTATAACTTGTCCAGAATACAAAAAAGAATAACTGGGCAGGGTAAATCTATGCACATTTTACTTGAAAGACATACTATATTCAGTGAGTCAATTACTAACTGGATTATAGTTTGAGACTGTACTGTATGTTTCTTCTTTTAAATCCAGTATTTTTAACAGAAATATGAGCTAATTAAATCTCTAAACCCAAAGTCTGGAATATGATTTTATTATATTTTTATAGCATTGGCAGAAGTTATTTTGTTTTTGTTTTTGAAAAGCACCATGAAAAAAAGTAGGCACTCTGCTTCTGTATAGTACATCAAATGGTAAGCTGTATTTCTACTGTTACACAGTATACATCGTGCCCATGCCTTTAGATACTATTTATAAATAAAAAGATGGACAGTCCACAATCATAATCCATTTACCTTTCTTGAAAAAGGAATTC